GCATTCGTATCAAATGAAGCTCAGTTGCGTGTGTGTGAGTGAGTATTGTGCTGAGTGTTTCTGGTAGGCGGAATGTTTGTCTCGTAACATTAGCTTGAACTCGGTAATGGACATAATAATGCAGCCTTGCGGTTTGTTAAACACCAATCTTGAATACAGTAGCGAGGTGAAAAGAGAACATGAGTTAAATTGAAGGCTTTGTTTCATTGCATGTCTACAGGAGAGAGGCCACTGAATCTGAGGGTGACCAGCCAGAGGACGAGTGCATCAGACGGAGACACGCCTCTCGGAAAGCAGCTGGCCAATGAGTTGAAGAGGCATCATCACGCTAATGCTGAGAGCAGGACGTCAGCAGCCACAGGTGTGTGTTGAAAGGCAACACTTAAGACATAGTAAGCAACCTAAGGCCAAGACATTTAAGAAATGTTAAGTCAGCATCATAAGTATCTTTGACAAAGGAAGCATCCCATAATGCATTACAATGAGCTCAGTGAAAAATATCCTTCCTAGATAGTGAATGAAACAAGAAAAATGTCCATTATCAGTATACTTTGAATTCTGAAATTACATTTTTCGAAACCGTTTTAGAAATATCCTTTATGAATACTTATTATTCATTCAAAACTGAAAAATATAATTTGAAGTAGTTCAAAATAATAAAAAATGACCGTTTTAGAGATGTCAATTATTAATATATTTATTATTCATTCAAAACTGAAAAAGTATATTTTTTTAAAAATAGTTCAGAACAGACTGACTAATATACATTAGAAATGTATATAATTATTTAAAGAACAACCTACAATTTCCTAAATTTCACGGTCACTGCTTAGTCCTATTTGAAGTTCTCCTAACAGAAGGGCAGTTTTTAAGCATATTTCATAAATTAATTGTATTCTGAAGCACAATTTAAAAAACTTAAATGAGATGTTTGAAAAAGAACTCTGATCAAAATTAGAGAACACTTACAGATACCTCCAAGTTACTGGTGTTAATCTGGCACCTGGTGCAAATTTCCTTAATTATATGACAAACCCTATTAACTGGCAGAATTCGTCCAATTTTCACTGAGATTACAAGATGGCGGGCCGCTCTAAGGTGACTGAAACCCTGCGACAGGAGGCGGTCCCGATGAAGGCCAAAGGAGAAGTTGATCGTTCCAAGTCTGTGGTTTCTCGAATATTGCAGCTAATAAAGACATTAATTCATTCAAGTACCCCAAAAAGACTGGTCGTCCACGCAAGACATATGCCCGAGAGGACAGGATAATGCAGAGACTCTCAATGGGGAATCGGTTCAACACTGCAGCTGGAATTGCTCGTCAGTTCAGTGCTGAACAGTGTATGGATCTTTCTCGGGATGTTTAAGAAGTTGGACTGAAAGCATACTCTGCAGTGACCATCTTCTCATCCGCAGAAAGAATCAAGAGGCTAGGCTCAACTTTGCGGCGTGAGGATCATGTTGTGTGGAGAGAGGAGAACTGGTCCAAAGTTCACTTCAGTGATGTGAGCAACTTTAATTTATTTGGGTCTGATGTGAAACATTTTGTTCGGCGTCAAACTGGGGAAAGACTGAAGCCTGAGTGCATAAAGAAGTCAGTGAAAGGTGGAGGAGGAAGTGTCATGGTTTAGGGGATGTTTTCTGCAGCAGGAGTTGGGCCTCTTATACAGCTACAGTACATGGCAGGGTGAATGCAAATGTTTATCAGAACCTCCTTCAGCAACATGTGGTTCCTTTCCTGCAAGCGTCTCCCAATCAGCCTGCAAAGACAATGCCCCCGTCACACTGCAAAACGGGTAAAGTAGTTCCTTGAAGGAACATTGAAATAATGAAATGGCCAAATAGTCCTGATCTAAACCCGATTGAATATCTCTGGAAAATCCTTGGCTTCAAAGTTATGGCTAAGAAACCCACTACAGTCACCAAACTATGGAAGCGAGTGGAAGAAGAGTGGACCAGGATCACACCAGCGCAGTGTGAGAAACTAGTGATGTCCTGCGGCTGCAGATGTGCTGAAGTCAATCAAAGCAGGAGCCTCTACACTCCCTACTTGTTTCTAACAGCTGTAACCTTCCAAAATTATAGTTGCAATCTTCTTTCATGCTACAGTGGTTACTGTTCTCTAATTTTGATCACAGTGTTTTCCACAAAATAAAGGTTTTTGTTGAAATGCCTTGTTGAAATGCCGTTATTTTGTCAAACATGTTAGCAGAAAAGTGGTGTACCAACAGCTAATATTCCTTCACATTTTGAGCGATGACGATTAACAATATTTCAGAAAAAATTAAGTATTTGATTCTCTCATTTTGATCTCCACTGTACTGTATATGTTTATTATCTTTTAGTAACATGATAATGGCAAACTGTTGAAAACACTGCCTTTGTAGAGCATTTCAAATCTGTAACTTATGAATTTCATTTCAGTTAAGATGCCACCTAACTAGCAGACCGCAAAGCAGCACACTAGGTTTTGGAACGGAGCCACACACACTGTGTCTTCCAGTAGATGCTTTTATTGCACATTATCTTACACTCTTACAGCCTAGGACCATAAAAACATTAGCGCTCCATGGCTGAATGAGATAAATGTGTTTTTCATACATGGGTCATTCCTGCAATACCTGTTGAGCGCTGTTATTTTTAAAATATGAATATGCTTGTTATAATATGATGAAGAGTTTCTATAAAAGGGCATTCAGATATATGCTCTGATAAAGACACTTAAACTGTTAGAGTTTGAATATTTACAAAATTTAACACAACTACGAAATAAAGTGCAAAAATGCTCATGGAGGAATTGAGAGTTTGCTTACACGATTTTAATATATATATATATATATATAATTTTTTTTTTTTTGCGCTTCAAACATTTTAATAGAAGAAATGCCTGTAATAATAATGAATACTTTATTATTATTATAAAATAATAAATAATTATTATTATGGTTGATGAAGATTATTATTATTAATGTATTATTTAATTAAATTTGTAATAAATTGTCAGTTTTTCCATTTTAGAAGCTTTTAGAAAAATTAATAGAATGCCTGTAATAATAATGAATACATTTTTATTATTATAAAATAATAAATTATTATTATGGTTGATGATGATTATTAATATAAAATATTATTATTATTATTAATGTATTTAATTAAATTTTTAATAAATTGTCAGTTTTTCCATTTTAGAAGCTTAAGGGGATATGGCAAAAATGGCAACATCTGATCATTAAATTCCTAAAGTAATGAACTTATTTAATTTCACCATATGTTCTAGCTTCACTTAGTTGGTAAAAGCTAATTAACATGATTTGATCTTTAACATTGTGAGGTATTTTTAACCATTATATTTAGATATAAATGAGCGAGCATAACAGGAATAATCCATATAATATTTGTAACTGCCAACTTTACATTTATTAATTTAGCAGACACTTTTAACCAGAACAACTTGCACATGAAGAACCTTGCAAGTAATTTATCATAAATGACATAAAGGGTTTCAGTAATCCAGAGCATTTCTCTTAATCGTTTTTTTCTTCCAGAAAACGGAGGAGACGCATCTTCACGTGCCCTCAACCTCTCTGAGAAGAAGACCATCAAGTCAGAGCCAGAGGATTCCAGATAGCAGCCCCGAATGCTTTCATTTCAAACCTACAACAATACACGTCTTCTGTCAGTGAATACTAAATGAGCACAACTACAGTAAAGCCTTAACAACCAATGTTGCCTCAAGAAAGAGTTTTAGTTTCTCGCCATTTTTGTTTTTGCCAAAGCACCTAGAGCCCTTATTTCCATTCTCCTGAGTAGATTCACACTGTTTGTGCTGTCACTGACTGTACTTGTTCAATTCTCACTAGCTCTCATCACTTGTTTTTATGCTCTCCTTTCGGTGTGGACCACGAAGTCCGCTATTTGTACATACATAGAAAATGTCTGTTTGAAAATGGTTAAATGTTATTTAAATACAGTATGTGTTGTATGTATATATGAATGCATGTTAAATATCACCGAAACGGAGGGACGCAGTGTTTTTAAAGTTGTTAGTTAGCAGCTGTTGTTGTCGCCTATTTAAGTAAGCCTCCTGGATTGTGTTTCTCTTTAAAGACCCCATGCAATCACTTTTATCTCCTGTATTGACTATTTCCTATTATCAAGTGACATCAAATGGTTTGCCCATTTTTTTAAATGGCCAGTAGGCTTTATTTACACCATAAACAGTGATTTGCTACTTGCCATTGCTATTTGATAGCTGGTGGTATTGTTAGCAGGAGCAATATTATCATTCTAGAGAGCATTTCTTTCTACAGAAATATTAGGGCTGCACGATATATCAAAATATTATTGATATTGCGTCATGGCTAAATGCAGTAGTCAAATTATCAAGGCTGTGATTTAATTAAATATATGCCCTGCATGTTTTAGAATGAAGCTTGGCACTGTTCATTTGCACAAGCAAATGTTAATTTAGACAGAAATTAAGATGTAAATATTAGTATTGTAATTTTACAGTATTTTAAGGTATTTTTCTTTTATTAAATACTTTATTTTATAGTACATTAGTATTATTGCAAGATTTTTATTTAATAATAATCACAATAGAAATCATACGATTTTATAGTCATATTAAATGAGTCAAAAACAGTGGCAATGTGGCCTATGATTTTTATAGTAAGTAATCGAAGTAATTTTTCAGCTTTTAAGAAATATTTTTAGTTTCTATTCAGATGCACTCTCCAGTCACAGAAAATTTAAATATCGCAATGCCGTTTTCTCCAGTATCGTGCAGCCGTAATCAATATTTTTGATCGTTTATCCCAGAAGAGAAAGAAATGTGTGTTTTTTAAATACGTAAAAGTGAATTTTGTCACTAGTACACTAGCATACAGATGACACATAGGGACTAAAAACTCTAATTTTGGACAAGCGTTGTGTCAATATTTATCTGCATTTTCAACTTTTTGCCTTAGTTTAAAGCGTTCCATGTTACAGTTCTTCACTTTTGGATGTTCGTTTTAGGTGGAATATGAAATGAGATTTGGGAAGTTGTATGAACAGCTAAGATTTAAAGCCTTGGCAATATCAAGCTCTCTAAAAGCACTGCAACAAAATTTGCTTTGGAAAAAAACTGTTTGATGAAGAAAAAATCTGATTGGACCTTACTGATTACATCGTTACCAATGACCTATATAGCAAGACATATCTAGACGCCTACCTTTGTTCCTTGCTTGTTACTGTCTTTAACCACTCACAGAAATGATCAGTCTTTCTCTAATCTTTGTACTTGCTTTGTATAATAGACTTATGCATCTTGGACTGTGGGATGAAACTATGTTGTCAGTAGAACTTGTTCTCGTCACTTTTGAGTAGAGAGTACATTAGGATATGCATACGGTAGTCCTGCACATATTGTTTTGTAAACACTAATATATTTAATTTGTTATACAGCACATGAACATTAAACTCTATTTTTTTGACATCTGATTGTGAAGTACTTTTCATTTCTCATGCTTTGTTTCAGGGCCCAGATTTTATACTGGACGAGTGGATTAACATATAAAAGTAAACATACAATATCCTTAAAATCAGACGTATTTATTAAATGTCTTTTAATCTATACGACTAGAGAAAACAGATTTTTTTTTAAAGGCTGGAAAACTTCAGCACCCACAATGCATTGGGCTCGATCAGGCTATCTGTGAGCGGGAACACAAAAATGCGGAAGTAGGATTTGTAGTTTTCACAAAAGCCCTGGCGGTTAAAAACGTAAAACGCCTCATCCGGCGGATTTAAACTGACGGGAAAATAAAACACATTGTTCACTTACTTACAGTGCCGACATTGTAACAATATAAAGTTGAAAATCGCTTTTCCCGTTTTAATTAATTTAATATTATTAAGAACAATTCATTTCGAAACCCGTGACTCATTGAAAGAATGTCAATGAACAAAGGTTTTTTTTTTTTTTTTGTTTTTTGTAAGATTACTTAGTAAATTACGGTAGCTAGTGCAAGTTTCTGACTACAGCTGTAGTGGTCTGAATACTTGTGCTTTGATATTTGTGTTAGTAAGAAGTTGTGATATGCATAGCAAGACATTCCTGGCCTTCGTGATTATGATTAGGCTATCTAGTATTTAAAGAAAAACAAAAAAAAGCGTTTAAGATAGTTAGCCTACACTACAAGCCAATCGTTTATTATGACTATTCTTAACATTTACTGTTAGGATTTGATGTTAAATATTAAGAATAACAACAAAGTCATCAAAATATGCCACAAAAGACTAAATGGAAGTAATTACATAATAATTATGTAATGATCAAAAATAATAAAAAAAAAAGGTTAAATTGGCTACATTAAAACCATCTTACATTTCACCTTCTTTTACATTTCCTTCCCAGCTTCTGGGATGCTTTTTTAAAAAGTTCTGAATCAGTTCACATCATTGTTATCTTAGTATTATTTGTATAGCCTACTAGTGTGTATTAATATGTTGAATTAGTTTTCAGTTTTAAATTTTAGTTTAAGTTTTAGTAATTTTTGGTATGTGCTTTTGTCGTTAGTAAAGACAAATTAAGTGTGCACTTTAACATATTTAGAAAAAAAAAGTTGAACATATAATATGCTTAGTAAAATAACGGAGTACAAATAAGTAAACTAAATGTACTAAACTATTATTTTATAATTTTTTTTAGTTGTGGTGATGTTCCTTATCGTCTTTGAAGTAGGCCTATCTGCCTTTGATGACATACAGACGGATGACAGTGAGGGCAGTGTGTGGGTCGATGTGTCTACACCTCTATTCATTTGCATCTACATCATATTAACACATTTTGAAACTGCAGAATGACTCATAAACACTCGCTGTTGTGCTTCCACCCTTTGTTGTGCGTATACGCAATGTCTGTGTGCGTCTAAACCCAGTACTGATAAACACCCCACTGCCGCCCACAGTCAGCCCGGAATAATGCCTCTCTGCACGGATGTCACAGACCGGTTGTGACCCTGTGCCTCGCCTGATAAGGCGTCATTCAGGTCATTGTGGTTTTTATTGTGAACGATTCAAGGGCAAAACAAGCATTTTGCCTTCGTATAGCAAATATAAACAGTCCTGTAATGCCTGCAACCTAATGAAACTGCAAATGTGGTTCCTAAACTGCCACTTTCCTTCAGAGTTTAGCTCCAACCCTAATCAAACACACCTGAACCAGCTAATCATTGTTTTCAAGACTACTAGAAGGCTACCGGCAGGTGAGTCTTATCAGGGCTGGATCAAATCTCTGCAGGAAAGTGGCCTGAAAGGGCCAAGTTTGCCCATCACTGGTCTGTACTGTGTGACCTACAGAGAAAAACATGGAACCTGATTAGTGTTAAATGATCAAAAAGTTCAAAGTAAACAGCTGAAGTGTGGTCTTGCATGGATTCCAAGGAGAACATCACCTTATAGTGCCCTCTAGTGCAAATGGGAATTAAAGTATTCAGTGAGACTACAAATGACTTTTGTTTCAACAGCTTGTAACACTCCAAAGAGAAAGGAAAACTTGAAATCGCATCATTTGACCCCTTTAAAGAATTTAACTTTATTTATTTATTTTTTCATTTTTTGAAATGCAATTTCAAGTATATTAGAAATCTCGGTTGATACTATATTACTACTCTCTCTCTCTCTCTCTCTCTCTCTCTCTCTCTCGCTCTCTC